TTTCATAATTTTACATGTCTTGATGAAAAATGACCCTTGGCACTTGATTTTGACCAAAAAGTCAAATTTTGACTTTTTAGTATACAGTCAAATTTGATCAGTTGACTGAAAAATTCATCTGTCAATCATATGTATTTGAGATCTTTTGAACTTGTTGAATGGGTCAAGACAATGTCATTGAGTCCTTGAGTCCATGGTTGAACTTGATTTTCCATTGGCTAGGTCAAACAGTCAAAAATTGCCTTTGTATAGTCAAAACCCTAAAAATGACCATTTTGCCCTTTTGGTGATCTGATCAAATTTCTTGTGGAATTATGGTCTAAACTTGATCAAATGGTTCATATGAGTTCATAATGTTGATGTGGGACAAAATTCATGAGGTTTGACTGTAAATTGGTCACAATTGACTTTTTCCCCAATACAACTGATTTCTAGGTCAACTATTCAATTGACTGGGCAAGCATTTGATTCAAGGCTTGAAACTTGGTATGGACAAACTTGTGAGTCCAACATGGAGCATGAAAGTCATTTTGGGCATTGTAGGTCAAAACATCACTGTGCAAACTCAAACCCTAATTTAGGTCAACATTGCAAGGAGGTGTCTTGAGCAGAGCAAACCCTAGCTTGATCTTGTGTTCCAAGAGTCTTGTGATGAAAAATGTTGATGAAATGAGAGGGAAAATTTTGGGGTACAACACATAGCATTTTCGTTAACCATTTCAAGGACCTCAAGAGTCTGTGATGCATGCTTATTATGAACCAGACGTCTAGCAAGGGTCAGGAGGATTTATTTCCCTCCAACAAATTGCTGTTAAAGTATCATGAACTAGACGTCTAGCAAGGGGTAGGAGGATTTATTTTCCTCTAACCGAATGTCGTTGAAGTAGCATGAACCGGACATCTAGCAAGGGGCAAGAGGATTTATTTTCCTCTAACCAAATGCCGTCAAAAAACGAAGTACATTATCTTGAGTCAAAGGCTATGACCCACTCGACATGGTGAGCTTGATTCTCACAGAAGGACATTCAACGACGCGAAGTTCTTCAGTCAAAGCTGCAACAACTTCTAACAGTTCACCTTTTGTTTATCCTGCGATATCCTTGAAAATATTGCATCTATATATCATACATGTCATTACATAGAAAGTATTCTCAAGATAGGTTTCTCATTTTCTCGTTGTTTATTTCAGAAGAAAAATGGCTCTCGAACAGACCGTCAGAGATCTCCAAGCTCAAAATGCACCGTGTCGAGGGACGAGGTCATTTTTATGCGTGGCTATTCGAGTGGAGAATAGAATTTGTTCACGAAGAACATTTTAGTTGCTCCTCAACTTGCAGGGAGACGAAAGTTCGGAGGATATCTACTTCATAAGCTACATGGTATATCTTTTGGCTGTGACTGCTTGAGTAGAGATAGAAGTTTACGCATGGAGAAAGTTTATCTGCTCCTCAACTGGCGGGGAGACGAAAGTTTGTAGGACGTAGCCACGTGGTGTAGCTTTTGGAATAGAATGATGGCCAGGGGAGTAGGGGTTATTATGACCATGAGCGTGTAGGCGGCGAGGAGATGGGCGGTTGATGCCCTGTTCGTCGTAACACTTTGTCTTTCGCGCCAGCCTTATAAATAATGCCTAAGGGTTCATTTGTAACATTTCCAAACTCTCGCTCTCTCCTTTCTCCCCAGCGTCCTTAGTTTTCTATCGTCCTCCATCTCTTTCTCCAACCGTAAGCTCCATCGTAACTTCTGCCGCATACTCCCTACCAACTTTAATCAAGTAAGTGTTTTCCAATGATTTTTGTCGTTTATGGTTGGCTTTTTTGATAAATCTTGACGAATTTCACTACCTGGAGGATTTTTGCTCGGGATATTCATACCTCTCTTCGTGATACTCACGAAATGTCTCGTGAAATTCACCTGCTCCCCGCATAACTTGTGAAATTTCTCGAGGAACTCATCCCATCCCCGCGGAACTCATGAAACTGCTCGGGAAATTCATCTTATCCTCGTCACCTTTACGAGGTTGTTCGAGGGATTTATATTCTCCTAGTGGCGTTCACGAGTTTTTTTGCTTTTACTGAACGAGGGTTTGTTAACCTGGTTTGATCGTAGCAACCCCCTTTCACTTGTGTTGCGGTGGAAGGGTGAATTTGATTTAACTGTCGAATTCATTGGTTTCCTTTGCTTTACAGGTGAAATGGCTGAACCAAAAGAGTCATCCGAGCAGATCAAGGTAGAAGAAATAAGTGGAACCGACAAGGGTGTCCAATTGATCGATACGGCCACCGATCCGTCATTGTCTTGGGTCGGGTCAGAACACTGAGGAATAGTCTCAGTCTTTAGCCATATGAGGAGGAAAGCGTACACCGTCATCAAATATAGCGGCAACCATGAGAGTTTCCGGCAAAATTTCACAATCTTTTGCCCGACACCTACGACTAGAATATACTCATCTTTCAAAGAAGATCACTTTCCCATATACGAGATTGTCTTCATGATTATATCTCGATGTTACAATCTTTCTAAGATATTCCACACACATATAGGATTACCAACACACTTCTTAACACATTTTTTAACACACTTTTTTGTTCGGTTAAAATTCACATAAGTCATATCAAACTTAAATAAAATCCACATAATTTAATAGGTAGATCAATGTGAATTTTAATTTATAAAGAGAGTGTGTTAGAAAACATCTCTTAAAAAGTATATTGTTAATTTTTTTTTAAAATAAATTTTAATGATAGAAAAAATAAAAGTAAGAATTATAATGAGGACATGATAAGAAAGAAAATTATATGAAAAATATTGCTGGAAAGTGGAGAAAAGTGATATTGAAAAGTTTTATTTATTTATTTTTTTACAAAATAATGAAATAGTTTTATTATAATATTTCGGATAGTTTTATTAAAATGATAAAATAAATAAATGAATATGAGAAATTTTCAAAGAAAGAGTCTGGGTTAGTGGCCGAGTAATGTGTATATAATTAAAAATATTATAAAATACGTTAATTGAGTTTTATAAGTGTGTTATATAACTAAATTAAATAAATATGAGTCTTCAACTAAAAAATAAAATAAATGAAAATATAAATTTACTTAGTGGTTTTTATCGGGTTAGTGAAAGTATTTGCTAGAAAAAAATTACTTCAATAACTATATATAAAAGTTTGATGATAGAATAGAAAACTTTAATATTTATTTAAAATTAAAAGTTTGATGATAGAATAGAAAAAAAGAAAGTAAAACTTATAATAACATTTAATATTACTATGCTGAAATAAAAAATGATTTTTTACAAAATAAATAATAATGTAAAGAAATAATGTAGGAAAGTAGAGGGAAGGGATATTGGAAATTTAATTAATTTTTGCTAAAATAATAAAAGTAATGAGCTATATATTTAAAAATAAATAAAATAAAACAATTAAGTTTTGTTGGAGGTTTTAAAATAGGTTAGTTCAATAAAAAAAAGGGATACTTTTATTAATTTTTTATAAAAACTTTACATCTATAAATTTAAAAATAAAAATATAATTTATAATTTATAATTGATTTAGAGTTAAATCTCTAACAACAATATTTATTTATATTTATATATCAATATATACAAAATTGTTTTTTTAATAGATGTAAACAAATTAATGATATTTAAAAATTAACAATTTTCATTAAAAAAATAGATTAAAAAAATGAATTTATAAATTTATAAATAATACTATCGAATTAAAAAATGAGTATCATAATTTATCAAATAATATTTACTTTTCTAATAAAAAAAAGTGAAATATTTTTATTAAAATAATAAATTATATAAAAATTTAACTTAAGTAATTCTTATCGATCTAATGATTAGATTTATCACAGAAATATCAATTGATTTTTATTGATTGAATATTGTTGAGGTAGTGATTGAAATTTTACTAAATAAATAACATAAATCAATATAAAAATTTACTAAATAATCTTTAATTTTGATATTAATCTTTTTCAATAATATTTATTTAATTATTTTTTTATATAAGATAAAATAAAAGAAAAATAATAATCTATTGATAATATAAACCGTAAATCAATTATAATTATATATTTAATTATACTTTATTTTTAATTTAAAAAAATTTAATAATATAAAAAATTATTGATTTTTTATTGATTAAATTGTGTAAAATAACTTTACACCGACCGTGCATGAATATTCTCATAAAAATAAAATAAAATTTGTTTGTCTCAATTTTAATCTATTTTCTCAAAAGGGAAATCTTATATTCTTATACATATCAAATAATAATCATTTTAGATTTTGTAATGATTCTACCAAGATTTAAGAAAGTAAAATTTGTTATATAAATAAATAATTAGGTTAAACACAAAACTATATAACTTTATTTACATAATTTGGAACCCTTGGGTTTTTGCTTCTGCCGGCAAACACTATTCTCACTATTCCAACGTCACCGTTCTTCGCTCACAACCACCACCATCGCCACTGCCGGTATTCCATTCTTTTCTTCTTTTCCGGTACTCATTGTCTCTCTCTCTCTCTCTCTCTCTCTCTCTCTCTCTATGTTTATCTCTGTTTCTGTTACATGAATGCAATGCCACTTTCACCGATTGAAGAATCATTAACGTTACGTTACTCATTGTTGAAAAATTGAATTTGGTTTTTAGGTTTCTTAGGTTTTTCTATAACAACACTTCATGCATTCTGATATGAACTTTGATCACAAACACATAATCAAACTTTGATAGACACCAGACAGGCCTATGATCATAAAAAAAATCATATCTTTTTGTAGTTTTTAGCCTCTTTTGATGATATGAATGTTGGAGTGAATTTTGATTAATCGCGCGATTCTGTTTAGTATTTCGTAATCAAAATCAAGAAATAGTAGACCGATTATTTGTAGAATTGTTTTATTATTTGTTTTTCTGTTAGTGTTTGCCAATAAGTTTATTGTTTCACTCTTATTAGGATTACACCTCTGATTTACTGTCATGAAGCTCCCTCTTTCTGAAACAAGGCGCGGTAAGCATGGGAGAAAGAAATCTCAAGTATGGGATCACTTCGATGAGGAAACAATGGGTGAACCAGGATATGTCAGGGCTATATGTAAAACATGCAAGAGATCGTTTGCTTATATGAAAGATTATAGACAATCTGGCACCAGCCATCTCAGAAGACACCTTCTTTTGGGAACATGTCAGAGAAATCTGCAAGCCAATCATCATTCCAATACTGGTGCTAATCTACATCTACATCAGAAACAAGCTAGAGCGAAACCTTACTCTAATTCTATCTCGTTTGATCAGGTGCATTGCAACGATAAGATTGCCAAAATGATTATTTTACATGATTATCCACTTCATATTGTGGAACATAAAGGTTTTATTGATTTTGCGCGAGCACTTCAACCGCGGTTCAATCCACTGAGCTTAAATACTGTCCAAGGGGATTGTGTTGCCATTTACTTCAGAGAGAAGCAAAATCTTTTGAATCTTATTGATGGGATTCCTGGGCGAATCAACCTCACTTTGGACTTGTGGACTTCGAATCAGACTTTGGGTTATGTTTTTCTTCGGGGTCACTTCATCGATGGTGATTGGAACTTACATCATCCCATTCTTAATGTTTTTGCGGTGCCGTTTCCTGATTTGGACGGTTCCTTTAATCAAACAATAGTGACCTGCCTAAGTGGTTGGAATTTAAAGGGTCGCTTGTTTTCCGTTCTATTTGATAAACTATTTTCCAACGAGACTTTGATGGGAAGTATGAGGGGTCTCCTCTCTCTTAAGAACCCTGTGATCCTCAATGGTCAATTATTAAGACAAAGTTGTTATGCTCGCGTGCTTAGTTGCCTTGCATTAGATTCTCTGTGGGCAATGCAAGAAACTATTTCTAAAGTTCAAAAGAAGGTGCAATATGTGAAATCTTCAAAATCTCTTGAAGAGAGGTTTTGGAAGCTTAAGCAACAACTTCAAGTTCCTTGTAAGATGAATCTTTTAGTTGACGACAAAAATAAATGGGACACAGTCTATCATATGCTTGTTGCTGCCTGTGGATTGAAGGAAGTTTTTTCCTGTTTTGATGTATATGATCATCCCGGGGACACAATGCTCCTTACAATGGAAGATTGGAAGCAGGTTGAAAATCTCTGTGCATGTTTGAAGCTTTTGTATGATGCTGCTAAAACTCTAACCATCCAATCATTCTCAACTGCAAATTTATTTTTCCCTGAAGTGTCCAAACTTAAGGTGCAGTTGACTGAGGCAAGCCAAGATCCTCACTGTTGTTGTTTGATTATGTCTCTGCAAGAGAAGTTTGATGTGTATTGGAGAGAAAGCTGCTTCATCTTAGCAATTGCTGCAGCCATGGATCCACGGTATAAAATGAAACTCGTGGAATCTACTTTTGCTAAAATATTTGGCGAGAATGCTGAGCCATGGATACGTACTGTTGAGGATAATCTTCGGGAACTGTTCCTCGAATATAGTATCATACAAGTGCTTCCGTTTACCGAAACAAATTTTGACATTGGGAACAAGAATATGATGAAAACGGATGCATACCAAGAAGTATCACTGGATGGATTTCAAGGTGTATCTATTGATGATGCATCTATTTTCCCTGTTGAAGTCGGACTTGTTGAAGATGAACTTTCAGATATTGAATTCTATATATCTGACTTCACTACTAATCAGGAATTTAAATCAGAATTGACCAAGTATCTTGAAGAGCCTCTAGAGCCCAATGTGCAAGAATTTAATGTTCTAAGCTGGTGGAGTATTAACGAATTCAAGTACCCGACATTATCCAGAATGGCATCTGATATTTTATCTATGCCAGTATCCACTCTTTCTGCAGATTCTATTTTCGACACAGAAATTCGAAAAATGGATAGCTACAGGAGTTCACTAGACTCTCTTACTCTTGAGGCCCTTATTTGTACTAAGGATTGGTTCCATTGTGAATCAAAACCCTTTGATGTTTCACACACACTTGTGAAAATGAAGTATTAGACGACACCGGTTTTCTAATTTTTAGGCTATAGTTTTTAGGCATTGGAATTTTGAAATTTTGATTCAGGTCAACTAATTTTTTTGACCTCGAATTTTTAAGTTGTTTATAACATACTGGTGATTCTATTTTAGTATTTTATTTTTTTATGAAACCCTTTAGTACTCAACATTACTTGTATACACAATATTAATCCTTTCAGTTTATAACACATTTGTTACATATACAGTTCTAGTTCATAAGTAACTTGCCTAATCATAGTTTTAGGTCATAAAATCTTTTTTTTTTAATTTTATTTTAAATCTTCGTTCTGTAACTTGATAACCAAGCAACATTCTCAAACTCTTTAGTCTATTTTCTTTTACTGCAAAATAAGTTAGAACTGTATATCTAGGTTATAGATTCAAGAAAGCTCAAATGTCAACAAGATTAATAAGTGACAGATGCATTTGGTTGTGGTTTTTATCTGATTATATGCAATTACCTTTAACTCATGTGAAATTCAAAAGTATAAAACTAAGAAACACTCATAGTACCTTTAACTCATGTGATGTTATTGTCTATGCCATACACCACTGCTTGCAGCCATTTAGTTATGCATCAGATCCTGCTTCAATTGAATGGTGATTGGCCTTTATTTTTCTATTTTTGTATAATATTTTTTAAGTGATTTATCTAACAATTTATTTACATTCATATATTATAAAAAATAAATATAAATATAATTAGTTAAAACATTTAGCAATAATTATTTAACTATTTATCAAACTATCTATTTACTTTATCTATTCGGTGTGGGTGTGGTTAGCATATGATAATTTTATTGTTTTTTATATCGTTAATTAAAAAATACTTAAAATCGTAAATTATTGAATTTATTTATTCTATTTAGAGCAATATAATATTAATTTAGTAGATAAATTTATTTTAATTATATGACAACGATCAATTATGAAATAATGTGAATTTTAAATTGTTGTCCGTGAACAATGTGTGTATGGTTCAAGTAAACTGTCAAAAGAGTAAGGGCAACTATTACCGTCTTGATGCAGTGAAAAATAACCAAAGGTTTTTATATTATCATGAACGGATATGGATAAAAAATAAACGGATATGGGTAAAAAAGTTAGTTCATGAGAGTATGATTTGTTTTAGATTATGAAATATAGACATGCTTACAGGTAAATCTATGAAAATAGGGGACACCATGATACTTTTTATTCCTTAGATGATGAAGATTTACAGCAACAAGTCATAAATGATAAAATGAATTCTCTATAGTCTAACAAGACCATACATATAGTAGAATTTTCTCCTAGTTGCAAACATCTTGGTTTAAATGAATTTTGAAAAAACAAAACAAAAATTGATGGAACCTTTGATAAATAAAAGGCTTGTCTTATCACCAAATGTTTTAGTCAAATAGAACATATAAATTTCTTCGACACTTTTTCTCCATTCACCAAGATAACATTCATTAGTATATCATTTTCTTTTATTCTCTGTTTAATGATATACTAAAGGGACATTAAAACTATTTTTCTAAAAGGTGGACCGAATGAAGAAATCTATATAAAACATTCTAAAGACTTCATGGACAAGAATATAAGATTTATAGTTAGATAAATTTTTGTACGCGGTCTTAAATAAGCTCCCTAGCAATGACATGAAATTTTTTACAATTTGATTAATTAAATAGATTTAAAGTGACTGAATGTGATAAATCATTTACCTAAAAAGAATCATGAACCTTATATTATATTATTGAATATTTGATGTGGATTGAAACACCTTGGATCAATGCACTATGGAGTCTAAGATGATAGTACAATCAGAAAGTTTAGAAGAAACTAGTAGGTTGAGATACTTTCTAGCAGAGATTCCTCTATTGAAAAAGCAGTTATCAATTTTGTTGATACATCAATAAAATTATTACAAGAATGTAGAATTGCTACTACAATGATAAAAGACGGAAGATACATTGTGTTCTGGACTGGGCCGGGCTGGCCCAAAAGCAACGATAAAGGCCCAATCCAAACGGACTTGCTAGGGGTCACACCGACCTAAGGACCACAGCTGTGCCCGACATACTCCACTGGGGCGACATGCTCGACCTCGTACTGACCAGCTCGACCTCAGCTCGAGCACTCCTCCAACGGCAGACACGGTCCACTACACTCTCAACGGGACCCCGAAAAGACCGCGTCCTTGTCCGCCCGCACTTCACGCAGGACATCCAGGAAGGGGACCACGTGCGGGTCTCCACTACGCACGTAGAACCTGGCAGTTCCTCCATTGGGCCAAACCTGCCCGGCCCAATGAAGGAACCTTGGCCCAGCGCTGGGGGCTATAAATACCCTCTGTTCCCAGAGGGTCAGGTATTCATTCTATCACATATACTCACACTTTTCCTGCTCGTACTCTTACTTACTTCAGCATCGGAGTGCCTTGTAGGTACCCCCCCCCCCCCACCTTGTTCAAAACTTCAGCTCGGAGCCAGCCGTGACGGTCCAAGTCTGATCAGGTCAGATCAGTGGCGCCGTCTGTGGGAAATAGCTTCCCCGTCTTACAAAACTCAAAGACCAAAGCTCAAATTCAACTACCGCTGTCATGGCTGATCAAGCTCGCGATGAGCAGAATGTCCATGTCGTCGACACTAATAACGGCACCGCGGACAAAAACGGACACCTTGATAACGCCGGCAACCCTGGCCATAACACCATTCCTGCGATAACTGCCCCCGAAACTTCCACCTACCGGGACGGAGCTACTGCATCATCTTCCTCGGTCCCTCCACCACTCGAAGACGACCCGGCGGCCCTCGCACATTACAGAGCCGCCCGGTTCCAGGAAGTCCCCGTCCCCGCCCCCGCCGGGGCGGATGCCACAACTCAAGCGCTGTTCGCAGCGATTAATCAAACGAACTATCTCATCTTCGCCCAAGGAGAGAGACTAAGGGCGCTTGAGGACGAGCGAAGACCCCCGAGGAGGCATCGGAGACCCCATACTCCCCCTCCTCGAGTGACTGAAGCTCGACACCCATCTCCCCCGCGGAGACATTACAGGGAGATCTCTCGAAGCCAATCTCCCCGGCCAAAAGAGAAACGGCCTCATCTGGAGAGGCCCCCCATCATTCAAACCGGAGAACCTACTCGTGACCCGGCGAGACAAGAAAGAAGGCACTCCGGAGACGGACGTGTAAAATTCAACCACCGAGCATCCCGCTCGAGAGAGACTCAACACGACCTGGACCGTCGTGCCAGGCAGTATTACAGGTCCCCATCTCTGTCTCCGGAGAGAAGCGACAAGGACGACCCCCGCGGTCCCCTGTCGCAGGCTATTATGGAAGCACCCATCCCCCCGGGCATGGAGAAGCCCCCTCACTTGAAGGAGTACGATGGAGTCGCGGACCCGGTCGACCACATAGACGGGTTCGAGGCTATGCTTCATTATCACAATGTCGGGGGCCCCATCAAGTACCGTCTATTCCCCACGACTCTCAGGAAGGCGGCGATGGACTGGTATAAAGGACTCGCCCCGGGCTCAATCACCTCGTGGCGGAACCTGAAGAACCAGTTTATCAGTTCCTTCACAGCTTCTCGGCGACATCCGAAGACCGAGGCGGCTCTCGAGGCCATCATCCAAAGACAGGATGAAACCTTGAGGGAGTTCATCAACCGCTTCAACCGGGAAGCAATACAGGTCCCCTGTGCGGACCATATGAAGAGATATTTGCTGGAGAGAGGGCTCCTTCCCGGCACGGAATTCAGAAAGGCCGTGGGTATCGAGCCACCTCGGACATTCGATGCCCTCCTCGAAAAAGCTCGGGCATACATGGACTACGAGGAGAGGGAAGCGGCCAACAGAGCCCGAGATCCAAGGACTCGTGGTCCCAGCGGCAGCTCGCGCCAAGAAGCCCCTCCTCGGCGAACCGGGGAGAAAAGGAAGGAAGATAGACCCCGGGAAGTCCGGGAACAAAGAGGACCTTCGGGGCGGTTCACCGAGTACACTCCGCTCACAGCTTCCCGCGAGCGCATTCTGGCGGAGTGTGCCAGCACTGATTTCAAGGACGGCGGTGTCAAACGTCCCCGACCTGCTCCCGCCAAGCCCAGAGCAGACAAGAACAAGTATTGTCAGTACCATAGGAGCCATGGTCATCTGACTGAGGATTGCGTCCAACTCAAGGACGCCATCGAAACCCTCATCAAGGGAGGGAGGCTCGCGCAATACCGGCGGAACGATGCTCCCCGTCGTGACGCCTAAGAAACTAGAGAGCCGGAGGAGGATGCCCGACCATCTGACGAGTCGGTCCCTATCCAAACCGCCTTCTTCGTGACCAGGCCCGAGGACTTCGACTTCCCCGAGCACCTGCAGGAGCCGCTCACAATGCACAGTAGGTGGGAATATTTCCCATCCGCCCTGGTCATCAACGGCGGCGGGTTCAACGACTTGACCATCAATTCAGCCAAGAGGAAGCTGGACGAACTGGTCGACGCGGCTCCCCCGCAAACAGTGACGTTCGAAAAGGTGAAGGGCAGGTCAGAGCCCATCACCTTCTACCTAGAAGAGCTCCCCGGCGGATCCCCGAACGCAGTCATCCCCTTACTGATAAGGGCAAGAATGGCCAATTTTGATGTACATCGTATCCTGGTCGACGAAGGGAGCTCCGTCGACGTCATGTACAGCCAACTATTCCGAACCCTACAGCTGGACGACTCACATCTCTCGCCGTATGTAGGGTCGGACTTACAAGGTTTCAACGGCTCGACCTCTAAACCTTGGGGATATGTCGAGCTTCTGGTTACGTTCGGCGAAGGGACGGCTACAAGACAAGTCAAAGTACGCTTCCTAGTCATCGACTGCCCGTCTCTATACAACTGCATCTTGGGGAGACCGACACTGGCAGAGCTGACAGCGGTACCCTCGACCGTCCACCTGAAGATGAAGTTCTACACCAAGAGGGCACGAGTAGCTACTATCCAAGAAGACCTAGCCGCTGCCC